GAAGAGTTGACTCATTGGAAAAGACCCTGATGCTGGGAGGGATTGGGGGCAGGAGGAGAAGGGGACAACAGAGGATGAGATGGCTGGATGGCATCACCGACTCGATGGACATGAGTTTGAGTAAACTCTGGGAGCTGGTGATGGACAGGGAGGCCTGGCGTGCTGCGACTCATGGGGTCGCAGAGTCAGATACGACTGAGCAGCTGAAATGAACTAAACAGAAACTGTTTCAGATCCCTGTCCTTGAGTGAGTCGTTTAACGGTTCTTTTGATTTTCAAGCACAGATAAGATTTATGTGACAAAACTACGTCTTTATAGAGGAAGGCTTACATCAACTGTGACTCAAATTAAAATTGATAATACACTCTACATTAATTAATTGAGTAATTAACTCTGAAAATAAATAAAATGACCTTCCTTTTTTCTCCTTAATTGACCACAGATGTACTGAATTGGCTTACATAAGACCTCCTTTCATTTAATTTGTACTTGTAGCCATTTATCCCTTCCAATAATAGAGTTAACACCAACGACAAACCACCAAACCAGAAGCAATTGCTTTGACTGTTACTTACGTAAGTTTCTACAGTCCTTAATTGAATCACTGAGCATCCATTCTGTAGAGTACAAAGCAAATATTGAAAGAGACAGATAAGACAGGCAGGTAGACAAATAAGGCAACCTAGATTCGGATTTTTTTAGTTGAATTCAAGTCAACAAGTGATGAGGAATAAATGCTAGTACTTATTGTTTATTAAAGCTCTGAATGACATAATGATTGATTGATTGAACCAAGTATTAAAATTAATTAATATAATGAACATCTCTGAAACCAACATCAGACAAAAGAATAAGAACTATGACTATTACACATGTCTGTTTGCATGTCCTCTATTCAGTCAGATAGGAGCTATAGCTGTTCGGTCGCTAAGTTGTGTCACAATCCCAAGGACTGTAGCCCACCAGGCTCCTCTGTCCATGGAATTCTTCAGACAAGACTACTGGAGTGGGTTGCCATTTCCTTTTCTAGGGGATCTTCCCAATGCAGGGATTGAACCCAGGTCTCCTGCATTGCAGGCAGATTCTTTACAGTTTAACCAACCAGGAAAGGCCATGAGCTATAACACCTTTCCAAATGAAACTTGTGTGGAAAGAATTCAGGTAATCTCAATCTTAGATTCAAGCACATTCTCAGAGATTCTCCGTGCCTCTTCCACCTTCATATATATATATGAATATATATAACTACACATAGAGCCATTTTATCTATATTTTTTAAAGAAACTACACCAACAACCAGGAAGAGAAATACTCTCTAAATATATTGACCATTCCAAAACTTAAGAACTTAGCTCTAGTTCCTTTATCTAGATAGCAATTTTTAGAAGTGGATTAATCACTCTCCTTGTTTCATAACAAATGGTCTTCATTGGACCATGCATTACTTTCAAGTAACTGATTAAAATATTAACTTATTACCTGATACATTTATAATAGTAACATTCATATTTGTGACAAAAAAGATTTAGGACAGTATTAATGCCTGTCCATAAGCTCATAAGGCACAGGAAAAAGATTAGATAATTTTTTAAAATTAAAAAGTATCAAAGATCATTGGATTGATCATAATTGGTCATGTGACATATTCTTAACATAGATCCATGTATAAAGCCTTCTCTCAGGTAGGTAGGTAGTTAATCAATAATTACATAAAAGCTTTGCCCTTCTCTTAATAAAACAAAAACCAACAAACCAGCCCAGAAAAATAGCATGAGCTCTTACATTCACTTATGCAAATGTTCTTTACCCAAAATGGTAAGCTTTAGTCAATTTATTTTACTGGAATCCAGTACTTCAGAAATGTATTAATAATGATCTTTATATTACATATATTATATTACACTCTGTCATATTTAAACCAGGAATAAACCATTTTGTCCTTATTCACTTATACTTTCTTGATTTATTCATGCATTGATTTACTGAAAATACAATACTAAGAAGCCCAAACACAACAACAAACTCTTGAATATTTTTAAATCCTTGAGCAAGCTCATTTCCTATAGAGATAACAAAGAGGAATGAATCTTCTTAAATGGACCTCAGAGTAACAGGGTTTAATCAAAGTCCTTGACTTCAGACACCCCAGGGTACTCATCAACGATCCAGGCTAAGTAATCTTTTACTTCATTTATACCTTTATTTATTGATCCATTCACTGATCCACCAACAAAAATAAGATCAATGTCCATGAATAGAAAAAGATCCAAGAACCAGATCCTTAGATATGACCAAGGTCTGTATCCAGGCTCTTTTTTCCCATAAACGAGATCTTTCTCAACGGATGAGACCTCTTTTCTAGTGGCCCTCATTGAGGTATGTGTGGATCAGTGAACAGCCCTGCTTCATATGCATCCTATTCCAGCTCTCTTGCACCTTCCTAATCTAAATAATTTGATAAACTCTGATGAAAAATTCACTCCAAAATCTTATGACAAGATCTTTTGACTATTACTATTATATTTGAGTCATTAGGATACTTACCCACAAAGGTAACAGCCAAGATCTTCCTCAGAGAAGACTGAAGCAGCCATAGTCTTCATTCTGTGGGGTCAAATGCCAATGTTCAGAAGAAGGAACTGTCTAGATGTAGACTGATTTAAAGGATATTAGCTGTGTGATCCTAGGTTAATCATGAAGTTGACTCAAGTCTCACTTTCATCTTTGACCCAAGAAGAGCACTCGTTTTTATTGCTTGGTTTAACTAATACTTTCAAATACTACAACGAGCACAGTTGAGCTCATCACTCAAAAATAAAAACTATTGCTACTGCTCATACCTGTCTATAGACCCCTACCCACATAAGTAAAAGCCTGGATAATCCTTTTAATGGACTCAACTTGCAGAGAAATGGCTGAATTTAGAATTTATCATTCATGGCATATTCTCACCAAAGTCTATGCTTGACTCTACTCACACATTAATTCAATTGTTCATTGTTGTATTTATTCAGGTATGGAATTATTCATGGAATACGTGACCATATGTTCAAATATATAAACACACAAAAGAAAATGATGGAAATCCAGAATAGACACAACCCAAAATAGAAATGATCTTCATGTACCTGCCTACATGTTCATATCTAAACTAGCAAGAGAGAATTAGGCGTATACCTAAAGATGAATCATTATTCTTTCTTACTGAGCTATGTTTGCCTCCTTTTAAACTATTGACTGTCATTAGGACTTCATCTATTTATATGTAAGAACACATCGGTATCTAGGGACTAACTAACATTAGATAAGAAACTTAAATAGTATTTATTATCTCCGTATGTCTATTTCAATACCTACAGAGATTTAAAGATGAGGTGGTTCTGTTGTTTTTAATAAAACTCAGTGAAAAGAGTTGGATTAACAATAACCATTTTCATGAGGCACATTCTGAAGATGAGCTATGTTCATTCTTTTATCAATTAATTACTCAATCAGCATTTATTTGTAAATTTTCTCTTCTCTAAACAGCCAACTAGCAAACCACCTACACCAAGCAATACCACTGAATCTTAAATACATCTGCATACATACTCCTTTGAAAAAAGAGCAACAGCCTTTATGAATGTATTTCACTAAAATTCAGTGCTGTGTGCTGCAGTGTGCTTAGTCACTCAGTCGTGTCCGACTCTTTGTGACCCCATGGACGGCAGCCCACCAGGCTCCTCTGTCCCTGGGATTCTCCAGGCAAGAAGACTGGAGTGGGTTCTCATGTCCTTCTCCACTCAGTGCTATAGTAATGTTTAATAATAATCCATGTTTGTTACATACTCACGTAACTGGTCCACGCTTTCTTTATATTTACCCATCTTTACATTTCTTCATTTACTCATACATTGATTTACTTGTAAAAATCAATCTATCTCCAGAAGATGTCTGTGATCCAGATATCTGAATATTCTGAACTTCTGCTGAATACTCGTTTCCATAAAGGAAAAAAAAAAATAAGAAGGCCACTTGTAAATGATGGACCTCAGAATTAGATATCACTTTAATAAATATGTTTGATTCAGACACCCTCCAATCTCATGACTAGTCCAGGCTTAGTACTCTTTTTCTTTGTTAATTTATACCTCCATTATCTCATGAGTCACAATCTCCCAGAACAGGATCCCAGAACAGTCACAGGATGTAACTCTAATTATTGCCTCTAGGCTGATTTCTGACAGAGTTTGCAGACTAGATATGAGTGTAACCTTGTTTCATATCAGGACCATCACAAAAAGTGAGCCATAATCAGGCCATACAAATTTAATTCACTCAATTTTAAAAATGATGTAATGAACCATCCAAAAACCACAATGGTACCCTACACCTAGAACACACACAATAAGTTGTCCCTTCTAAGAGCTTCCTCTAAACAGTTAATAGTCTGGGTCTCTAATAATATTGAAATATTAAACCAACTGTGGTGCAGAAATAATATGGAATAGACAACAGTTTTGAAAAATTTAATTCAATGCCTTCCATTTCTTTCCAAGATGAATCTCAGAGGTACTGAAATGTGTTCATTCTACTCCTTGGCCCATAACACATTCTTACTATGGCAATACTTGGTGTTCTTAGATTTGGTTTTATGCATACAGCCTTTTATTCTTTTGAGCTACTTCAGTGACCACACATGAATAAACCACACAAACCAAGAAAAGAAACTTCATTACTTATATTGCTCTTTACTCACAGAAGTAATAGCCAAGATCCTCATCATTGGACAATAACTGAATTCAATGTAGAATGTTCAATCAGAAAGAAAAAGCAGATTGTTTTAAAGAACGAAAAGTGTAAATTTGGGTTTTTAAAATAGAAGTTAGTTCTACACTACTAGATTAATCAGAAACATTGGTATCTGTCACATTTTCACCTGTCAATCCAACAGAGGTATCCTTCTCATCTATTGACCTACTTTTTAGTGTGAAATAAACTGGTGAAGACTTTTAACATGTTTTTTAAGACCTTTTAATCCAGCACCCCATATATGAACTATATTATTAATATTTGCCTATATATCCTTATCAAAACAAAAAGGCCAGATAACTTTTTAATGGGGGAAATTTTGATGAATTTAAATTCTTGTTCCAAAAAAATAATCTGACTATACCATACACTAATTATTATAAATTAAATTAAATGTTTTAATTTATAAATAAATTATTAATTAATTTATTTATTTATTAAATAGCTCTAATAAATGGATGGAAAATCCCATGCATAGAGGAGCCTGGTGTCAGACACAACAAAGAGTTGGATACAACTGAGTAATTAAATAACACCAAATAGCTCTAAACATAATTTAACTACCTAGACCTTTTTTAAAAAATAAAATATAAAAAATAAAAAAAATAAAATACATACAGATAGAGTCATCTACTACTAAACACTAAATGTTATTCAAAAGTGTTTCAAGTTTCCTCACTGATGACATTTTCTTCAACAATGGAGATATTCTCTATTAGCACTGCCCATTATGCATACTACTATATATAAAAGAGATAACTAACAAACACATGCTATGTAGCATAGGGAATTCTACTCAGTATTATTTAATAACCTGTATAGGAAAAGAATCTTACAAACCTGAAATATGTACATGTATAACCGATTTACTTTGCTATACACTTGAAACTAACACAGCATTGTAAACCAACTATAAGTGAAAGTTGCTCAGTCATGTCCAACTCTTTGAGACTCCAAGGACTATACAGTCCATGAAATTCTCAGGCCAGAATTCTGGCAGGGGTCGCCTTTTCCTTCTCCAGGGGATCTTCCCAAGCAAGGAGTCAAACCGGGGTCTCCTGCATTGCAGGCAGATTCTTTATCAACTGAGCTATCAGGGAAGCCCTCATAAATCAACTATACTCCAATTTTTTAAAATGGCAGGCACTGGCCACATAGTGTTACTAAGAAACTAAATTTTTATCTTTAACTATTTGAATTTAAAAGTTAATAGCAAGATGTGTTTAGAGAATAGGGTGCAATTATCCTTCCCTGAAGAAGCAGGGGCTTGGATCTTTTTATTTAAGTGGACTTCCAGGCAGTAAAACAAGATTAATTGGGCTCCTTCCCATATTACATATCTTCCTCACTGGCCCACAGTTTTTACTCTTTTAAATAATACAGATATGAAATTATGCTTTGACTCACTGGTAATAATGGCACCAATATTGGTGAAGCCTAAAGACAATTAACAAACATACTGAGAGACACTAAATCTATCCATCTGCTTATCACAAAAATCATCAACATGCATTTACTTGAACAGTGAACACAAGGGGATTGATAATTTTGCATTCATAAATCTCATGCTGAAACATTTTCCATGTTTCAATAACTAAGCATTTGTATCTTATTTTTCACTATTGATTATATTAAACTATTTATCAAAATATTTCATGCTGTGTTTATCATGATTTGCTATATTACTATTGATCATATTTATTACATTAAGTATTATTATTATAAATGATATGAATATTTTAAAAATAAGACATATGACCAGAAACTCACCATCAACAACACTGATATTCACATATATCTAACTATACTTTCTCAAAAGAGGAACACCCTTAGTCTGTCTTACTGAACTCAACTTTTCAGAAATGTATTAACAATAATTCTTGGTTCATAAGCTCCTTTCATAGCTGGATAAGGGGTAGCTCTCCTCTTTATTTCTACTTTATTTATCCATGCATTGATTTACTTATAATAATATCATCCATATTCATGAACAACAAAAGGTCAAGAACACAATCCTTGAATATTTCTGACTTTCTTTGTAAGCGCATTTCCCAAAGACACAATGGACCTCAGAGTTACAAACTGGGTTTAATCAAAATAGTATTCAGATGCCCCACGCATACTCATCATCGATCCAGACGTGGTATTCTGTGCCTTTGTTTGCTATGCTGTTCTTGACATATTCATTGATTCACTGATGATAATATAATGTTCATGAATTAGGAAAATAAAACCAACATGCTTGAAGATACAAATATGTCTGTGAAAGTTCACTTCCCACAGAGCTAGAGAAATAGCTTCTTGTGCAATGCAGCCCAGCATTGAAACTATGAATTGATCCATTTCTTGTATTGTATCAGTTCCATATTAGCCATTGGTCCATGCTTAGACTTCCATCCAAATTTCAAAGATAGGACAATGAACTTTCATTTTCTACCATGATTAAGAAAAAGGCAAAATTTTCCATTTTTGTATATTCCCCTCCTTGATGGGTTCATAGTCTTTAACAATATCAATACAGTGTTTCTATCCCCTGTGGTATGAAAATTAAAATTGAAAAAAATTTTAAATTTGAGTTAGAAAAATTAAGTGGAACACTAAGACTTGAAAGTCCCTTGGAAAGCAAGGAGATCATACCAGTCAATCCTAAAGGATATCAGTCCAGAATATTCATTGGAAGGACTGATGCTGAGGCTGAAACTCCAATACTTTCACCACCTGATGTGCAGAGCTGACTCATTGGAAAAGACCCTTATTCTGGCAAAGATTGAAGGCAGGAGGAGAAGGGGACAACAGAGGATGAGATGGTTGGGTGGCATCACCAACTCAATGAACATGAGTTTGAGCAAGCTGGGGAGATGGTGATGGACAGGGAAGCCTGGCATTATGTAGTCCATGGGATCGCAAAGAGTCGGACACAACTGAAGGACTGAACTGAACTGAAATTTTTCAGAAAATGAGTGAAATGCTTTTCATCCTTTTGTCCTAATAAATTCAGTCATGCTGAAATGGATTAATCATAACTCAAATTCCTAACATATTTTAATCATTCACCAATGCATGTCCACCTTAGAATTGTTCATGTATGTAGCCATTTATTCCTTCAAAATGTCTCAGTGGATACCCATGACCAAGGCCCCAAACAGAACATGAATTTTATTACTTATATTGATCTCTTCTTTCTTTATCTAAGAGGTAAAAGTCAAGATCTTCGCCATGAGTGAATAATCAAATCTGGCAGAATGTTTGCTCTGGGCAGTTAAAAGCAAATTTTAAAAAGAATCAATCTACAATTATCCACTTTAAATGATCAATAATTAGGTAACCACAATCCTTGATTTGCATCCTATTTTCAACATTTGGAAAGAGCTCTACTTTGCATATATTAACGTGTGCAATCTTGTATTTTATAAAATATGATGGATACCACTGAATCTAGCAGTAAACACCAGAAAAACAACTATAATTATTAAGAATGTGTCTCTCTACATATTATCCATGAAGGGCTAAGATCATCTTTTTCACTGAACTTTAACTGTGTGGAACTGGATCCATGGTAGAGGCAACTCATGGCACAATCTCACCAATGGTCCAAGCTTGCCCCTACTTAATAAATTTATTAATTCACTCACTAATTCCTATATTTAATTACTCATGGAATAAGACCATCCCTTTATTTTTCCGAAAAGTTTAAATGACCATCAAAACAGAACTGAAACACTATTATTTACAAAAGTCTATGTGCACCATTGGAAAAGCCTAGAATGTTTTATCCTCCCATGGACAACAGCTGTGTAAAACATGATGAATTAGGATCTTTCCATCCAATTGCATGCCTTCCACTGATGCACTATTGGCTGACCTTTTGAAAAAGTGACAGAGATACAGATGTATACATTTGATTACTTATAACTATACTTCAATATCTGTGACCCCCACACATTGGATAAGGAACTTAAATAATGTTTACATTTGTCTTCAAGTCATTAGCCAAAACAATAGCAAACTGGTTCTTTTAATGCTTGTTTGTATGCAACATAAAACTGCATAAAAAGACTGAATTAAACACAAATGTGGTTGAATAAAACAGTCTCATCATTGTTCCATGCTCTCCCTCCCAATTACCCAGTTTATTCAATCAACTATTTATGTAAATGTATTTCTCTTTCCTTAGTAAAATGATTGATTGGCAACATGCCTCCACAGAAAACAAAAACATTCAGTTTTGTGTGCAAATGACCATCTGCTCCTTACAAAAATGACAAGAGCCTTGACTACTAAGAATCTAAAAAAACTGTTTTCAAAATTACCAATGTTTCGTTACATACCTTACAAAGTTGGACGCATATATCTCTTATTCTGCGATCACTGACATATTTTTAATTCATAGGCTAAATTTATTTTAATAAAGCTAGTCACACCCTCAACCAAAAGGCCTGAAAAGAAGGTGTTGTAGGTTCATTTCCCGCAAAGAGAATAATGAGATGCCTCTCTGTCATGGACCTCAGAGTTGCAGATGGGCTTAATCACAGTTCTGGTTTGAGAAACCCCATGAGATGCATCACTGATCCCTGCTAGGAAATTTCTTTTCATCTATTGATTAATTTTCTGAGACACACACACACACAAGAAACACAATCACAAAATTCCAAAAATCAGATTCTTAAACTTTAGACTCTTGCCCTGTAGAGCTAATAAAACAACATTTCTTCTGTAATGGAAGTCAAAGCTAAACATGTGGATGGGTCAAAAATCCCTGCTTTCTATCAAACCCACATACAGCATTCCTTCCTATCTGGCCCTCTCTGATTTAATTCATTCGTATGTCAAAGATGGTTCCATGAAAACATCATGAAACTACCATCAGCAATCATCTCTAGACTGTCCACAAAGTTATCAGCCCCTCTACCCACATGCAAATGGTGAAAGCAACCGTGGTAGAAAAGAGAAGATAATACTAAATTAAATCACTGCCATCTTCTAAAGTGACCTCAGTAGTGCTGATTTAGCTTAAACACATTAGGGGATTGTGATACATCCCCATCACTGGTCCATACTGGAGGTGTTTTATATATTTCATGTATGTAGTACCTAATTATTACTTTGGAATTCTTCAGCTAACACTCATGAATAGACTATTCAAACAAAGAATGTGAACCAAGGGACTTACTTATATTAGACTTTATGCTGCTTGCTCACAATAAAAATTCTTTATTAAGTGATTAAAATCAGCTGTCCTGTGTTCACTCTGGGGAGGAAAAAAGCTGATTTAGAATAGATTTGGGGTTTTTTTTCCTAATGATTGTTAGTCAGGCAGAACTAGATAACAATAAACTTTGGCTCAAGTGCAATTTTTTACTAATCCAGTATTGAATTTTTAGTTATGAATAATAAACATTATTAAGTC